ATGTTTGTCTCCTCCTCTTTTACTGCTTGCACTCCCAGGCAAAATCCTCTTCTGTGATGCCATTCACCTGTTATGATAAAGCAAGTGGCCTCCCTTCATGTGGCTTCTTCACTTTGGACATTTCAGGCTCCAAAACTGTAAGCTAAAACAAACCTATTCTTAGAAATTACCCAGTCTCTTACAATTTGTGATAGCAACACAAAATTGACTAACACAGACAATTGGTACTGAGCAGTGAGGCTACTACTGTGATTTTCCCTGAAAATCTTGAACTAGGTTTTCAACAGGTTGATGGCATGAGTTGGAGGATTTTGAGGGAGCAGAGAAAAAAAAGCTTGTACTGCAGAATACTGAGCATTGTGAGTGACAATGAACAGTCCTGTGAAAATTAAAAGACAGGGAAGAGTGAGCCTTGGTAGAGAATTGCTTTGCAGACACATGGAGAAAGCTGATAGTAATTTGGACAGAGCAGATCATGCTGGCCTTGCCTCAAATGTTATTAATATTCTATTACAAACTGCACATAAAGTATCATGCTTGTCACACAGTTGGAAAGAATATGGCTGCACTGTGTCCATCACCAAGGCATTTTAGGTAGGCCATGCTCAAGAATGGTGAAATATGCCACATGTGTTGGCATACAGTTGCAATCCCAGCTTTTCAGCCCAGCAAAATCATCAAGACCCCATCTAAAAAACAAAATAAGAAAGATGAGTCTGGAAGAAATAATATGTACTGATGTAGAAAATGGAAAAATGAGAACTGTTCAGATTATTACATGAATGGGAGGAGGAATAAAAAGGAGAATAATGGAAGGGGTGAATTCAACTATGATATATTATAAGAAATTTGGTAAATGCCACAATGTGCCACCAGTACAGTCATAATAAAAATACTGAAAATAAAATTTCAATTAAAAAATAACCATAGTGGCAGTGTTCAGTTGTAAACTACATCCTAACACATACAAAACCTTAGGTGCAATATGTACCTTGGTCAGTGAAATTTATGGTGCACTTGGAAGCTAATGGAAGGAGGGCAGAAAATGTGTCCAGGGAGAAAGCAAAGTGAGCTCTTGTCTTAGTGATGCCATCCTCACATCTTTTATCACCTTCTGATCATCATTCAATCTCTCTTTTCTATCTTAGTCTTCCCATTCTCAGCACAGATGCCCTGCCATAACTCAAGGATAATCTTTCCATGATTGTTAGTTTCACATCCATTATGTGGATTTCCAAAGTCAAACTCAGAAGCCAGAAGTTAAAAGCAGAGTTTTTATGAACTCAGAGACGCAGGAATTTCTGTGCTCTTATCTGGGATACTCAGGTGTTGTGAATAGGGTCCATTCTGCTGGTGTGAATATGTTTCCATTTCTGACCACATGACTAAGAATAAACAAGAGAAGTTGGAAAAATTTCACTGTGTAAATTGGGGCTGGATAAAAAATGGCTGCTTGTGGGAAGTAAATGACACTTCTGCTTGGGAAAGTTGACACTCTTAAGAGTTTAGGCAATCACTCGTCACATGTGCCACTCAGCTTGGACATAATTACTAAATGAAACTAACACTACTGTTCATACACAAAGACCATAAAGGGGGTTTACAGGAGATTTATTTATTACAAAAACATGGAACAATTTCAGAAGTCTTACTGCTAAGAATGTATGAAAAGTGAAACACTATTTTCTGTCTAAAATAGAAAAGAGTGATATACACCTCAATAGGAATGAATACCACAGACACAGTCCTACTAGAAAGAAGCCAACCTCAAAGGGTGAACACGCTGAGCCTGAAGTGTGACATGGAGTCTGCAAAGGAGCAGGGAGCAAATCAGTGTTGACTGAGGTGTACAGGTGAAGACATTGGCTGGAATCCAAGATTTCACAAGGGAGTGGTCATGTCCTTTGTTTTGACTTGAGCGTAAAATGCTTAATTGCATGTGTTTGCCCGAATTCATGGAAGTTGGTAATTTGTACTATATTTAATTTATATTTACATAAATTTCCATACAACTTAATGACTAGAACAGATACCAACAAATTCCTATTAATATCTTCCTCAGCAATGTGCATTATTTTCACTACGATCTAGACTGTTTCAGACAAAACATGTACGAGTTGAAGAAATTTCTTCAGTTTTGTGATGTCAACTCTATGTGTGCATGTAAAGTCTTTGATGAGTTCTTTCAATCTAACAAAGCCTCAAGTAGAACAGAAGGGTGAGGTGGAAGGTTTTCTATCTATGTTTTCCTCTCTTTCTGCCTTTCTCTGCTTCTCTCTTTATCTCTCTCTGCCTCACCCTTTATCTCCTTTTCTCTCCTTTCTGTCTTCTTCTCTGACCTTCTCTGGATCTTCTTCTCTGATCTTCTGCTCATTTGCTCCACAGAAATTCCATGTCCATCCTGTGTCTCTAGTTTGCAGACTTCGAATACTGGAATTTCTCCATTTCCATAAGTGTGGCAGCTGGCTATGAGATCTCAATCCCACTCCGATTCAGAGAATAAAGCAGGCTGCAGAAACCACAAATCAAAATCATACCATGCAATGAGATGTAGTAAAATCAGTGGAAATATCAACTATAAACCTAAATAAGAGAAAATAAGAGAGTGGAGACCCTTACAGAATGAACTCAGAAATTTAAAATTCGCAAAGGTAAAGTATTAATAAATAAGTACTTAAAATGAGGTAGGCAGGAAGTGAAAAATAGAGAATAAGCAAGGTAAGAAATCCTGGAATGTATGTGAGATAAAGGTATGAGAAATAACAGTGAGCAAAACAAAACAGAACAAATGAACAGCCAGTCCAAACAAGGAAAGGACCTCAACATTTATATAGGATGGAAATGCTGTCCTTTCTTCCCTGTTTACTCAGTGAGGGAGGAGGAGAAGCAATTCAGGATGTAGTCACAGGCAATAACTTCCCCAAAAAGACTACATCACCCCAGAAAATAGTAGCAAGAATGGACAAATTGATTGTACTACATTAAGAAAAAGTAATATGCATAGAAAGAAAGAATCAGTAGAGGAAAGACTTGGGCAAAAAACTGGAAAACATCCAGATATTCATCCAACAAGGATATATTCATCCAACAAGGCCTGGAGTGTATTCCTGTAACACTCATGCCTGTAGTCATCTTCATCATAGTCATTGTCATCATTGTTATTTATTTGGGCATGGGAGTGGAAGGGACACTACCTGAGAAGAGATGGGAACTGAGGGACAAAAGAGGGAAGGGAAGAGGGAATTGACAGGCCAATAGGATCACAATATATTTTATTTATATATCAAAATATCACAAATAAGTCTAATATTTCTGTAATATTTTATGCACTAAAAAGAATATTAATTTTAATATGAAGAAATATTTCCACCTAAACGAATGCTCAGGGTTAACTTATGAGTACAGAAATGACTCTGCTGTGGTTACCAGAACAAGATCTCTGGATGCTCAATGGATGAGAACGAGTGATTTTCCATGAGAAAATAGACCTCAGTTACATTGCTTAATTTGGAAAGTCTGTGGGATTCACACTGGATCCATGAGAGAAGCAACCTGTTATGGGACACATAAACAGGAATGGATCTAAGTTTCTCCTTCCTCATCAAGCATAGTGCACACAGCAAACCCCCGACTTACCCAATTATATTCTGTTTTCCTTTTTATCACAATCAATTAATAATTAGGTTTCTTTCTCATTTCTCTCTGTTCTCCAACTTCTTACGTAGAGTGTGGGATGTAATCTCTGTTTTCAATACCAAGGCAAAAATCCTTTACATGAACAAAAGCACCACCAGAGAGACAAAGGAGGATCTGTGCTGGAATCAACCATGAAGAAGCAAATCCAGAGGCTGGGCGGATATTCACTGGACTATATGTAAGGAGATGGAAAGAGCTTGGAAGTGATAGCTCTCTTCTATAAATATATGATCCTTCTAAAGTGAGCTACTCTCTTATCACAAAAGTGAACATCATTGAATCATAAAGCAGAGATATTTCAAGTAAGTCCCAGGTCAGCCAGACCTCAGTCCCTCTGCATATGTGAGAAAAGGACTCCCCCAGTGCAGATTGTTTTGAAGTATCTAGGTTAAGTCCACCTGTAGGCTTGTGGGAGTTACAGCTCTCCCTTTACAGGGCTGAGGTCTCTAGCGAAGGCAGGGCTATGGTCTAGAAAATGAGACTGTTGTGTCTTCTGTGCCTACTGTCTGCCTCCCAAGATCACAGCAAGCACAGCCTCAGCCCACATGTCAGTTGCAGACTCACACATAAAGTTTTCTTCCTGAAGCTCTGATTCCTACCCAAAAGCTTCTACCACACACCACCAAGTGCAGAGAGGTGATCTCACTCTATCAGAACATCAGAATTTGCCTTCTTTTTTTTTTGGTGGTATATTTGTTAAGGCTTCTGCATACTGTAGTACTCACCACATGTCCATTTTTCTTGAGCTTAAAACCACTGAATTTATCATATTGCCTCCTCATTTATACTGTGATTCCATTTTATCAAACATTGGTTATGGTAGACTTTAATCCTTCTCTATTGATCACAGAGAGGGAAATAAAAAGCAGTCAGAAATAGTTCCCTGCAGGCTCCCAGGCACTTGGTTCTCATCCTTTGACTGATTTTTAATACATCACTTTGTCTCTTTGCCAGTCATCTAGGGAGGAACAATAGTTGCAATGATTCCTGGCTGCACATCCAAGGAGAACACCAATCTACTGGAACACGAACTCACTGACTCCAACCATGGTGCTCAACAGAAGAATTGTGTACAGAGGACCCTGGTCCTGAGGGGGCAGGTCAAATTGATAGGAAGCAGACATGGAATCTTCCCCTAAGGACACAGGTGCCCTTCATCACAGACTGCTCCCCTCCTGATGCCTGAGACCTGACTTCACTCATCAGGTTCAAGATCCCTGTGGGGGAATGCAAATCTCCTAAGCCCCGCCCACCACTGGGTTGAAAAGCCCATCACAGAGCCTGGATCAGGAGTGCTCAACACCATGGACCAGCTGTTTTCAACTCTGCTGCTGCTGACTTTCCCTGCCTGTGAGTGCTCTACAGTGCTCCTTTGGGATGAAAGTGCCCTGTTCTCACTGGAACATGCTTCACTTTCTTTTTGTGTTTCTCCACAGGGGTCCTGTCCCAGGTCACACTGAAGGAGACTGGACCTGGGCTGGTCCCACCTTCCCAGACCCTCAAGCTGACCTGCTCCTTCTCTGGCTTCTCACTGTCCACTACTAACATGGGTGTGGGCTGGATTCATCAGCCCCCAGGGAAGACTCTGGATTGGCTAGCACACATTTGGTGGAATGATGGTAAATACTATAACCCAGCACTTAAGAGCCGACTCACCATCTCCAAGGACAGCTCCAATAGCCAGGTGTTCCTCACAATGACCAGCACAGAGCCTGCAGACACAGCCATCTATTTCTGTGCTCGAAACCACAGTGAGACAGCATCAGGTGCCTCCTGCACAAGATCCCAGGCTGTTCCTCTGTGCTCTGTTCAAAGGGAGTCTGTTCCCTCCTCTGTGCAACAGGAAAATGTGGAGGATGTGCCCTTTCCTGTCAGGCTCTGGGATTTCCTCTACACCCAGGGCCTCAGGAACCACTTGTCCCATTGCATTTCTATATCATGGGTCTTCATGAGTTGTCATGAAGTCCACTGCTATGTTCTGTTTATAGAGTTGCAAAATGAATCATGCCTAGTGCCTAATCAACACGGGTCATTGTTATGCTGTGTTCTGGTACACTTGGTCACATCCTCACAGCAGGAGGACACAAATAACTACAACATTTGCCTTGATTAAAATTTTGAATATAAATAAAGAAATAAGAATACATGAGGAATTGTAGAAACACTATGTTTTATTGTAATGGAGAGTAATTATTATAATCTATACTGTATTAATATTATATATGAAATGATAAAAGGAATTAGATGTCTCAAGTAATGGGGTTTTGATTTATAGAGTTCTGCTCTTCATAAAGCTTGTGTGTAGGGAGTTAGTCTCTCAGGTAGATTGGAAAACTGATCATAGGAAGAGAAAGATAAGATATTCATGTTAGGCACACACCTCATTAAGTCATTTTGACAATAATGGGTGACATAGAACACATTTTGCTACTCAGTGTTATTACTGACTTTATTACTAGGACTTTTATGAAAAATGGATTTAACAGTCATATCAAAATCCGGGGGATGTAATACTTCAGACCACAATTTAAACCCTGTGCCCCAGAGCTGTGTACTGTAGATTAATGGGATGGCACTGTGTTATCAGACTCTGGTGAGGACCTCACTCTGATGGAATCTCAGTAGCAAAACTGTGGGAAATTGAAGGATGACACAATGAGACAGGATGCTGACGGCCAAGAGGTCCAGGCTTGTTTTGCATTCCACCAGAGCAACACATTCCACCAGAGCAACTTCAATTTATTACAGCACATATGCCATGAATATTTCTGTCTACTGATGAAAACCTTTCAGCATTGGAGGCTGTATTTGTAAGCAATGAGAGGAGATTGTTGAGGATTGCATAAGCTTCTGTTAACCTCACTGCGAGTTTACATGGAGGTCATTTATGCCTCTATTACTGTTTCATTTCCTCTTGAATTTCCTCAGATCTCCATGTCTATTCCCATCTGACAACTGCTCATTAATCAGTTCCTCAGGAGCCTCCTCTTGGGGCTTCTTCATGGTACTCGTAGAAGTGGTGGCCAGCTCAACCACAGAGGATTAAATCATACTCACATAACAGATGCACTCTAAATAACATCAAAAACGTTCCCTATGGGAAATACATGAACCTGCACCATGGGCATTTATTACCATTATTTATTATTATGTCCTGTGCACAACTGTGTGTTTTATTATTTATAGATCTGGCAGTGCCTTGTCACCACACACATCCAGCCACAGGTTTTGCTATGATGACAACATTAAAGCTATAATATCACTAAGTCATACACTTCTATTAGCTCAGTTACTTATGGGACCACTGCCATAGATGAAGACATCAGCTTTACCATATCTAAGGGAGGTTACTAGTATGTTACCAGTACCATCAATGATGAAAGTGGCTCACACTTGTAATCTTAGTGACTCAAGAGGCAGAGAAAAGGAGGATGGTGGTTGAAGCCAGCCAGGGGAAAGGGTTTAGAAGATCCTATATTGAGAAAACCCATCAAATAAGAGCTAGTAGAGTGGTTCAAGGTGTAGGCCCTGAGTTCAAGCCCCAGTACTACAAAAATATTTAAAATAAAATTAAAATAAACGTGAAAAGAGAGGAAAAACAGTCAGGAGGAATATAACAATAAAGTGAAGAAAAGTAAAGATTGGGAAAATATCTAAGCATGGTGTAAAGAATGGAGTGAGAGCTTTTTGAGGGGAGAATGGACTGTGGGCAAGGGAACATGTGATGATTAGATTGGTGTGACAGGAGAAACCAGGTGCTGTCAGCAGGAGCATGAGAGAAGCAATGGAGAGCTGCCAGTCCCTCACAGACTGCATGCAGGGATGTTAAAGCAGGACAGTGTCATGGAGGCCCAGGGGCCTGGGATGACATCAGGGCTCTCTTTGCAAGGATATCTCAAATTTCTGAGGCATAAATTGCTGTGCTGCCATCCTCAGACTCACCTGTTGTATCTCTAGTGTGACCAGGAGCAGTGGGTACCTCAGTGACTGCCCATACAGAGGGGTCTCAGAACCTCTGTGAGTCACTGAATACCAATGGGATTTTCAAGGCCACCAACAGCTTAAAATTGGATGGATTCTTGGGACTCATTTATTTTATGGCCCAGCTAAGGAGCAGGAGAACTGAGGCCCTCAGTTGACAGCCCTGCTTAGGTCTGGTCTTTCCTGAGCCTTATTCCTCCTGTGAGTCTCTCCTTCACTTTATTTAGCAACATAATACTTTCTGTTATCTCGTTCATGTAATTCAAGTGAGTTGCAGACAATATAGCACTTAATAATTCTATTGACATATAAAATTTCAGGATGGATAATTTTGCATAATTATTGAAGTTTACACATTGCCATTCATCTGCAAATCCGCTGCTTCAGCTCATATTTGCCATATATGCTTTTCACAAGTATGCACAGCCACTAATGCAATAGAAGTTAGCAAATGTCCACAGTCCCCAAGGGAAAAGAGCCCTCTAATTCTTTTGTTATTTCAGTGCTGTGGCCTCATGCAGGCTAGGAAGGGGCTACTCCACTTGATGCATTCCCAGTCCTTTGATAATATGTTGTGTTTGAAATATGCACTCAGTATTTCTTCCTCAGAACAGGTTTTGATGTCCTGATCCTCCTGTCTCCACATCCTGTGTAGTTGGGATTATAGGCTTGCACTGCCACACCAGGCTTAGCTATCACTTTTGGTTCTTCCTTTTCTTCTCTTCTACCCCAAGTCATTCTGAACATTAACGTATTTTCTGTCTTTCTGGATTTCTGAATTCTGGATATATTATCATAACTGGAATTAAACAATGATGAAGAGTTTGTATCAAGATTATTTACTTAGAGGATAATTCAGTTACAGAAATGTTGCACCAATATTTATGCATATTATAAAATTGTTGTTATTTACAAAGCTTATGAGGACAATTAAAATGATTCAATTCCCCTAATACTGATGAGAAAGTGAATTGAAAAAGTGACTCTGGGGAAGATTTTTACTGTTTATTAACATATTAAAATAAAATTATTTTTGGAATCATATCTCTATCTTTCTGTGTATACCTGAGAAAATTGAAACTATATATTGACCCAAAATCTTGAATAGCAGAACTCTTAATAGAATTCTAAAAGGTCTTCAATTTATGAAAGCCAAACACACTGCACTACACCCACAGAATGAACTATGCATAGCCCATGAAAAGAACTGGACTACTCATCCACATTATAATACAGGCTGTTATTGCATATATTAAAAAAATCATACAAATATTTCATTATCTTAATATAAGTGTCTATAGAAGCTACATCCACACCCAGAGAAAATAGAAAATTTTCTCCCAGGCCTGTGTGGAGAGAAGTTGAAAGCTGATTGACATAGGTTTTCCTCATGGAAGGTGAGCACAATAGTTTCAGTAATGGCAAAATAACAACCTTACGAAAATACACAATCCTATTCTATTTCACACTGAAAATGTGAGTTTTTTGTAAGTGAACTAAATTTCACACACAATGTTCTCATAATATGAAAGATAAAGGAACTGTTATTGACAAAAAATAAAGACATAAAAGACAACATCAGAAGACAAGTGTTCCCAATACAGAGCTCAACGTGAAGCTACAGCACCCTGAAAGCTTTTCTACCTGTATCAACAGGACAGAATAAAGAGAAAGAAATAGATTTCCAGGATGTACTACAAGATTGAAGATTCGTGACAGACTCAGTATCACAGAGCTCACACCATCTGAAAGATTATCTTTGGTTTATGGCAATAAGTGTAACTGACTGGTTAGTTTGCTAAATGAGATGTTAACAAAATGTAGACAGATGTCCAACTTCTAAATAAATATTTTAGCATGGAAAACCCATTGAATGTATGTGGGCACTTCCAGGAATATGCTGGGGTTCTGGTTTTTCTCTAGGGCCAGAATTCTCCTATTCCAGGAAGGCCACCCACACTGCAAAAATCATTACATGGGGCAGCAAGTCTTCCAAGAGCTGGAAGAGTCCCCACACTTAAAGAAAAGTAATAATTGCTGACTTCTGAGCTCTAACTACTTACTGCTGACCTGAGGATCCCTCTTATATCAGAGAGAGGTGCTCACACACCATATGAGTGACCTTCCCACTTTCAGTCCTGAAGGATAACACATTCTCTCTACACCAAGGAATTGATGTCAGTATCCTGCTTACATGTGTATTTTGGAACACTGAATGTATCAGAGTAAAAGAAAGACCTTGGACTCATGTAAGAAGAGCAGAGTGACAATCTACCAAATGTTCCAGGCACGTGTTATGCCATAACTGCAAGAGGAACTTAGAGACAAATGAGGAGCTGTGTTAGAAACATCATAGGGAAGTAAAGCCAGATCCTGTGTAAACAAGTAGTGAGATGGCGACAGAGAGAGACTGGAATTGAATGACAGCATCCTGTCCTAGAAAGGAGGAATCCTCATGGCCTGGCTTCCCTCTAAGCAGGCACCTTACACAGGTACCACAGACTTTTGGACAGAGAAACCTCACAGAACACATGATGACCAGACACAACCTGGCTTAATATCTCCTTTTGTAAAAGAACAGGGCTCCCCACATGAAAATTACCATTCAATGTCTATGTTAAATCCCCCTCTCAGGTTGAGGAAGCTCATAGCTCTCTCCTCACACAGGGCTGAGGTCTCTGGGGAAGGCTGGGGTCTGCTCTAGAAGAAGAGACTGTTGTGTATTCTCCTGTGCCTGGTGACATCTCCCCAAGGTGACTGTCTCCAATGT